CTAGGAGATTACCTATTTAAGCTCTCTGATTATTAACTAATGAGAGTACGACTAGCCATACATGCAACTTTTGGTTATCTATTTAAGTAGTCTGCCCTAGGTTCCACACTAGCTGCCGTACCTGCACCCAACTATTATGGGGGATACCCATTTAAATCCTCTGGCTCCATTTCTGTAACACACTTTTACTCTAACACTCTTAATAAGATTAACAATGCCTTATAAGGACCTAGAGTTTTATCTTATACATATCGTAAATATCATAATATAGTAGTATTTCTAGATTTAGTTTAGTTTATTTTAGATTCAATAAACCTGAACTGAATCTGAATATAAACTATAAATTTTGTAGATTATTGAATCTAAATCTGAACTTAAAGTTTTGGTTTATTCAGATTTAGTTCAAAGTTTATAAACATATTCAGGTTTAGTGACAAATTATAGTAAAAATTTTTTTGCCTCTAAAATTTTTAAATTTGGAATTTTTTAAAGAAATCTTTTTCCAAAGTAAACCTATTTTCAACTTCTAAAAAAAGTTGTAGAGAAATATTTTGTGATTATAATGGCAGTTAAAATATTAAAATTAGTCTAGTAGATTATGAGATATAAGTATTATAGTTCTCATAACTATATATTTTCTTCTTTATATAAATAAAGAAGAAACAAATAGCTGTTAAGACAAAAATACTTATATCTTATGATCTACTAGGCCAATTTTAATAATTTAATTGTTATTTTGATTACAAGATACTCTTCTACAACTTTGATTAAAAGTTAAAGAAAGATTTACTTAGTTAAAATTTAAAATAAATAAGATTTTGTATAATTTTATTAATAAAATTATAAAAAATATTATAATTCTCAAAATTTTACTAATTAATTATATCTTTATATTCTAAGTAAACTTATTCTATATATAAAATTACACTATATTAATATATGTTTATATTATAATTTTAAATTTTAAAAAAATATTCTTAATTTTAAAAATTTTGATTAAAAATTTAAAATCAAGTATATTTTTCTCAAATATAAAGTAAACATATGCCAATATAGTGTATTTTTATGCATAGAACAAGTTTATTTAAAGCATAAATATATAATTAATTAATTAAAGTTTGAGAATCATAATATTTTTCAACATTTTATTAATAAAATTATAAAAAATTATATGATCTTCAATATTTTATTAATTAGTTATATATTTATGCTCTAAGTAAACTTATTTTATATATAAAAATATATTATATTAGTATATATTTACTTTATAATTGTAAAATTTAAGAAAAATATGCTTGATTTTGAATTTTTGATCAAAATTTTTAAAATTAAAAATATTTCTCTTAAAATTTAAAATTATAATGTAAACATATATTAATATAGTGTAGTTTTATATGTAGAACAAGTTTACATAGAACATGAAGATATAATTAATTAGTAAAATTTTGAGAATCATAATATTTTTTATAATTTTATTAATAAAATTATGCAAAATGTTATTGATTTTAAATTTAACTAAGTAAATTACTCTTTAACTTCTAATCAAATTTGTAGAGGAGTGTCTTGTAATCAAAATGATAGTTAAAATATTAAAATCAGCCTAGTAGATTGTGAAATATAAGTATTTTTGTTTTAATAGCTATTTTGTTTTTTTTTTATTTATATAAAGAAGAAAATATATAATTTAAACAGAACACTCTTTTTGATGATCACTTGTATCAAATTTACAACAAACTTTTTTTTAGAAAAAATTCAATAATTTCAAAGTAAAATAGATCAGTAAAGATTTGGAAATCATAAGTCAGCACCTATTATTTAGAGATAGTTCTTATATGCTATCTGCTAGTAGGTTTAGAGTTTATCACTTACAACAGAAATGGCACTTGTCATTTAGAAGTAGTTCTCATATACTACTTGCAACAAGTTCAGAATTTATTACTTACCAAAAAAAAAGCTCCAACATACTGACCAGTATCACAAGTCTTATTTTATTTTGGACAAATGGGACCTTTGCTAAAAAAATCAGGTTTCGGGACCCCTTAACCAAAAATGAGATTTTGACAGTATATTAATTTTTAGTATAAGAATAGCATTTTGGTATAATTTTTAGGCTAGATTATCTTAATATGAAAGTAGATTTTTTTAATTTTAGATTTTTTTAATATAAGATCTAAAAATAGAATTGGATAATGCCTTGTTACGTGAAATTGATCGTTAGAGTTCTTTTTTATTGGTCATTCATTATCTCTAAATATAAATTTTTTATCGTATTTCAGTATTTTACTAGAATGTCAGTTATTATCACAAATATGTGTCCTGTTGTTGGCTTTTCTTACCTTTCTTATCATTTTTTAATTTTTATATCTTAGACTCTTTCTGGTTCTTAGTTTCCATTTCAAGCTGATCTTTTCATCAAATCCTTGTTGCTTTGGGTATCTTGATTTTTGAGTTCTTGATTTCTGAATTAGGCCAGGAGTTTCTTGATTTCTTACTTTGAGTTCTCTATTACTACTCAGGTTTTTTAATCTTGCTTCAAGTGTTTCAATCTGTCTTGCATTCTTTGTTCTTTGCTCTGAATTCTTTGTTACTATTTAAATTCTTAATTTATTATCTTTGTTTTAGGTTTTTATTTCTGTTTCAGGTTTTTTATTGCTGCTTTGCATTCCTCGATTTCTCTTCGGGTTCTCTGTTACTATTTGAGTTCTTGATCTCTGAATCAGGCTTTTTTTATTTTTTTAAATTTCTTGGGTTCTTCGATCTTTGCTTCAGATTTTTTGTCACCAACTTGGGTTCTTTGATCTCTGCTTTAGGTTTCCTGTCTCTGTCTTGGATTCTTTAATCTTTGCTTGGGGTTTTTGTCACTTTCTTGAATTTTTTTATCTATATTTCAGAGCTTCTGTTACTGTCTCTGGTTCTTTAAGCTCTATTTTGAGCTTTTTGTTTCTATATTAGGTTTTTTGTTGTTATCTCAGGTTCTTTAATCTCTGTATCTAAGTTTATGATTCTACCTTGGGTTCTTTGATCACTGTATTAGATTTTCTATCACTGCTGCAGATTCAAATTCTCTAGTTACTGCTTCAGGTTTTTTGTTACTTCCTCGGGCTCTCATTGTATTTTACTTTTACTATAGTTTAATTTTTTTTTTTATTCTAATACATTGTTGGTAAATTATTTACTAAAAAAATCTATTAATTTAGGGTGTTTTCAAGCTCCTCAATAGATCAGAAGCAAATTTTTAATAGTTAGAAATTAAATAAATTAACCAAGTGAGCTGTCATCTCAATGAACAGATCCAAACCATCTTTTTTTTAAAAAATTTACTATTGATAAAGGTTGCTCAAGCATTACTTTTACATTGTTGCATTTTTTGTATAGCAAACCTTTATAAATATGAATTCTCAACAAATTTCTAACTAGTTTAAAAAATAGCAACTTTATTTTTAATTCTCAAGGCTTTAAAGCAAATAATCTATATCTCAATATGAATATAATAGATACAACTCATATTTTATAACCTTTAATAAAACTATAATAAATACTGCTATTATATTTTTCATTCCATATTTAATGTATAATGTAAATTATAACTCTTTGAGTACATTTTCTTATTTTTTATTATGAAATAGCTACTACAAAATTACTATAAGTTGCCTATAAACAAAAATTATTTAAAAATATACTATATTATTAATGAAAAAAAGTTTACTTCTTGTTGACATAAAGCAACTTTCACTAACAGTTCCATTAGTTGATTTTATTGCAACAAAAAATTTAATTTAGTAAAATCATTAAAAAAAGAAGCTAGTGCAACTGAAATTGAAACTTTGGCAGTTTGTTGAATAGGAAAATTTTTCATTAAGTTTTTTTAAAAGACATAGCAAAGATTATAAAAAGTACACTCAAGCATTTAATTCTATAAATATTATTATTGGTTTTGATGCTTGAGCATTATTATGATCATTATTTGATTAATTGATTGAGATGATTAAGAACACCCTAAACTATTTTTTACTAATTAAAAAATTGAGCTCCAATCTATTAATTTAGCTTGTGAGCACTCTCAATTTATAACTAATTAAAAATTATCCTTCGATCTATTGATTAAGGTGCTTGAGGACACTTTTATTAATAAAATAAAATTTATTTATTTTCATCTTTAGTTTTTTCTAGATTTGCACAATATACATCTTTGTATGGGTCATCTATATATTGTCTAATTTTTGTAAATAAATAGTATTTTCTTTCTTTTGCTAATAATTTAATTAGAATAGTTTTTAGTGTAGTATTAATATCAAAATTATTCTTGCATAATAGTTGAAATGAAATTTCTGATCTGCCTGATTCAGTTGATGCATAAACTTTTCCAATATCTGTAGATAAACTACTAAATCTAAAATGATAGTATTGTCTTATATTGAAAAAATTTTTAAAATGAGTTTCAAATAATGAAGAAAAATTGTACCAAGTCCAACCTAATTCATTATTATATAAAATTGGGTTGTTTCCTTTTGAAGAATTATTAATAACATGTTCAATATTGCTTATTGTATTAACTCTATGATTTTGATATACCTTTTTCATTTGACTAAAAAAAGAGTCACAAATAAATTTTGTATAACCTGGAATCATAAAGTTAATTGTAATTTTCTTGTACCAACCTAACATCGTTAACTAACAATAAAAAAAGAAGATAAATTATTTTTATTCTGATTGCTACAGTTGTCACATGTTATATATTATTTTTTTTTTTAAGTATAAATTTCTGAAGAAACCAATAAACCATATTTAGAGTAGTATTTGCACCCTTCAAAATATATTCTGGAAATTCATCTTTGCTTATTACAAAATTTAGTTGTAAATTTTGGCCTCTTTCTGTTTTACATACTCCAAATAAATGCACAGAAAATAGATTTTTAAAGTAAATTGTTTCTACATGTTGTGATGAGTACGGAATTGACATACACTATACCCAATCATAACAAATATATGTGATAGATAAATCTTTCATACTCTTAGCTATATTATTATTATAATGTTGCCTTTCTTATCTGTTACAATGTGATGCTGATCATATATACTTTTAATTTGGTTATATTCTTCTATATCTGCTTTTGCTACTACTAATTTAGCTTTAAAGGTTTTGCAAACTTCACAAAGATCACTTGCAGGTGGTTGAAATTTGAGATAAGGAATTATTTCATACCAAAGTCTTCTAAATGTAAAATAGAAAATAACTTTTGTATTTTCACCATTTTCTTTATAAAAATATTTGAATTCATTATAAACTGAAGTATATATATTTCCAGTAGGTAAATAAATAAATGGTTCTGATTCATTTTTATATCTCATAGGAGATGGAAGTCCATTAATATTTCCATACTGTTTTAAAAAACATTTAACTGAAAATGTAATACTAGAATCAAGATATACTTTACTTTTTAATTTAAATATACATCCAGTATTTCTATGAGTTCTTTCAGTTAGCCCATTCTCTTGTAAATGTTTTTGAATTGCTAAAAGAAAATGATTATTTATTCCACAAAGCTTTAGAAATACTGGTTTACAAAGTAATAAAGATGCATTATAGTTATATCTATAATTTTGTCTTTGAGATTCTACGTTTTTATTATTAATTTCAAAGGCCATTAATTGTGCTTTTAAAAATAATACAAGTTCTGATTTTTCTAATCCTCTTATTTGAAAAACTCCTTTAAAAAATTTTTAAATCTGACTTTTTCATAACGATTCTTAAATCTTTTTGTCTAGGTGTATAACAACATGTACAGTTTGAATATTTTTTAAAAAATTGTATTAGATCATGAACTGTGTTAAGAACTAATTTATTGTCTTCATATTCTTCTAATCCCAGTTCAATTAAATTATATACTGGTTTTAAAGAATCTGAATCTAAATTATCTGCACTTAAATCTTCAGACAAAGTCATAAAAGATATAAATTATATAAAGTAAAATATTATCAAACAAAAAATTTTTTTATAGTTTAAACATACTAAATATGTATTCTTTAAATATATACAGTTGATATGGTCTAATTGTATACTGTCTAATAATTGTATATATTTTGGTTTTAACTATTAACACAAAAATGGTTCTTATAACTTAAGTGCATATACTGTCTATATATATTAAAAAGCCTCTGACAGATAAATTTAAAAATTCTGGATATACTCTCTGTTAATATGCTTTAAACTTATTCATGTGCTTTTTATCTTTTGCATAATATACAGATTAAATACTATCATTACCCAGTCTTGAATATAAGGAAATTTAAGTCTATTAAGAAAATTATTAAACAATATCACTTTATTACTTCATTATGACTACATAGACATGAAATAATGCCTATTTATATGTTAATTGACCTGTGTGTTATTTCAAGTAAGCCCATGTGCATTATTTCAAATAAGGGTTGATTTTTCGAATTGCTTTTTCTTTAATCACAATAAGATTTGAAAAAAATGCTCTAGAACTAAGTAAGCCCATGTACATTATTTCAAATAAGGGTTGATTTTTTGAATCACTTTTTCTTTAATCACAATAAGATTTAAAAAAAATACTCTAGAGCTAAATAAGAATTGTCTTAATATGAAAAACAAGTTGCGTCAGAGCTCGAAAGTAGGTATATTCAGTACTAAACATAGCTCTAAAGCACTTTTTGTTTATATAAGGGTATATTGAGATACATATTAATATGTTATAGATGCTAATTTGAGACTACAAATACTATTTTAGAAGATTCTAATTTTTGAAATAATTCTCACAAACTTATTTTGTGTCTATATGGTAAGAAACTGTTCAATTTTATTATAATACAGAAATCAGACCCTAGTATCTTGCATTTATCATGCAATAACTTCTATTCACATGTATACTTTATTATATATACATACTAGTTTTAACTAATATAGCTAAACAATTGCACTAAATTAGTGAAGGTACAGGTATTTTTTCTAGTCTAACTAAAGATAGGATCAAAAATAATGATTTTTGCAGCAAATCATCACCTCTCTATTAACAATTAATTATGACTTTAAAAACCAAGCCTGTAGTTAGCTTAATTATTAGTCTATACTCTAGTACTTGGACTGGTAAATCTTGTTTTTCTGAAAATTAGAGTTCAGATTTAGAGTCTCTAAATGCACCATCCTCAGGACTATAGTAAAAAGTTTCAAAAATATACACTTAGAAATATCTCTCTGTAGGATTAATAATACAATAATGAATTAAAATATTACCTATAGTGCTTAAGGCCTTTTCATTAAATTTCAATACTTTATAAACTAAGTCGCTTCAGAGTTCCATAAAAATATTCAGTGTTTAACTATAAGTACAAACTGCTACAAAAAAATATGAGTTTTCAGTGTTATATATTATTTTATAGCTATAGTTACTACAACGGTCTTTCCACTCACTTTGCTTCACATATCTTGTATGTATCCAAAGTTTTTATAATAAAAACTAAAATGGCACATGTGGGCGGCTTCACCGCCTAGCAAATCTAATATTGCCTATAAAAATTATATTTAAATTGGACAAATAAAATTAATAGCAAAAAACTAGTTACAAAATATTTATACCATATAATAAATGAGACAATCAAAATTATTAAATCATTAAATATACAACTCTAAAGAATTATTACTTTTATACTAATTACGCAGATCACATTACACTATCATGGCTGTGTAACTATGTCTCAAAGGATGATTTTACTAGCAAAAATTTTGTGTGATATAATTTTAGTTTGTGTAACAATAGTAACAATAGTACAGATCTAAATTTAGAACAAATTTAGATTTGTGTAACAAACCAATAATCCTTGTTTATTCAAATCAGATGATCTGTTTCTGAACAGTGATTTTTCTAGCAAAAACCCCAAATAATTAATACACTCTTTAAAAGATAGTACCAGTAATATAATACTTCTTTTCGTTTAGTGCTAGTCTCTCCAAAATTTTCTTGAAAAAGTGGGCAAAACAGCTTACTCTCATTCAAAAATCAGCATTGTTTATATCTTCTATTTTCAAACAAACTTAGTAGTTTGAAACCACGTATCTGGTTTGTTGTTTTTAATATGATACTACTCCATGTAACAAGGATCAGGTTCTAAGTTAAAAAGATATCTAAAAATAGGTGTGCTATTGTTGAAAAGAAAGAATTTTCATTAAAGTTAAACTTAACAATAGAGATATACAATTGTTGCAGTTGTTATATAATTTTTAAGCCTTGTACAGGTTATAATAGTGTATTTGTTTTTTTTTTTGTTCTTCTTTTTTTCTAAAAGGTTTTTTTTTATTCATTTTCTTAGTTTAGTTTTAGCTTTAGTCAGCTTAGTTAAAGCCTTTCTCTTTGTTTTTCTTTTTTTATATTTCACTATTTCTCCTTTTTTATCCTCCTTATTTTTTCTCCTTCATTCTATATGTTTTTCTTAGTATAGTTTCTTTTTTTTTTTCTACATTAAAGCTTCTATGCATTGTGCATAAGGATTTTACTTTTTTTTTACCTTGGTGAAGAAAGCAAATTCTGAAGAGATTGGCTCTTAACAGGGCTGACAAAGTCTTCTACATCTTCTGGGAAAGTAGTGCAACAGGTTGTGTTAGTGGTTATTCATATGAAGGACTGAATGATACCAGACTTGCTATATGTGGATATTAGAGAAGATTTTCTTAAATGTATTTCTTTTATCTTTTAATAAAAGTACTGACGAGACTATTAAAGAGTTAAAAAAAGAAGAAATATATAGTCATGGCTAGGGTACTAATGAATATCGGGAGACAAGTTTCCTGAAATATACCCGATAGATTCTCGGGACACTTGAAGAACAGATAACTCGGTGATCGACGAACACATGATAAACATATAATGACGTCATTTGTTTACCAGAATTAAAAAAAGCTGGCCTAAATATACCCCTAACCCTAACCCTAACCTAATCCAGGCCGAACACTTGTCATATGATGTTGTGATGGTCACTGAGTTAACTCTTCTTCAATCTACCCAGATCCTCCAAATACCTGCTGTATATCAGCAGCATATTGGAAACATTTTGGTAAGATTTCGGGTAGGTAGATCGATATCGATAATATAACAGTACAATATTAGGATACCCTGATATCTTACTCTTAGCTGGACCTAAAAGTAAGATATCGGGATATCCCGATATTTTGCTGTTATGTTACTGATATTGATCTACTTCCCGAAATCTTACCTAATATGCTGCTAATATACAGCAGGTATTTGGCGGATCTATGGCAGACTATCAGGTACATATCAGGAAACTTATCTCCTGGTATGTACCCGATATTCATTGATTCAACCTTGTTTATTACATCCAATGCCATACATTACATATAAAATCTATGATCCGTTTCGTCATAGCATTTGTCACCCATCTTTATTCGGCAAAGAAATTTCCAGGTGGAATTAACTGCTTACACAACGCAAACAATGTTCATCGTGACCTTGTATGATGTGTTTTCTATTTAAATTTTTTTTTATAGTGCACATATTAATATTAATATAGGACACTTCAAGAACACGGAACCCAGTGATTATCACATCACATGAAATGATTACTAGCATTAAAAAATTAACAAACTATCTTATCGCCTAACCTAACATTAACCCTAACTTAGGCCGAACACTTGATCCTGTGATGTGATGATCACGAAAATATCACTGGGTTCTTTTTTCTTGAAATTATCCGTTATTAATCCAAATTATGGATTTACGTCATGGAAGGGCATTCGTCTGATTGGCTGATGTAAATCAATTACCCGGATAACTTATTTGTACACTTTAAAGTACTTTTTGAGGACGTAAAGTTTCACTAATTAAAAATCTACTTTTTTTCTACCATTTTTTCGCAAGAGCGTGGATATTCACTGTGCAAAATAATCGGGATCCCGAAGAATATCACTTAGAAGACAAAATATGTCTACCGCCTATTGGACCATATCAAATTATATTGTAGAGTGAAGGTAAGTGAAATGTTTTTCGTCTAAAGCTACTTTATTACGTTAGATATAAATAGCTTTTTTGATTCTAACTGTTTAATTTGAATAGATATAAGCTCTTTAATAGTAAAAGCTGGGTTTAACGTTTAAATTGGTCGGTTTTTGTATGTGTTTGGGTTGTCAACCGTTAAAGTTTTGGTTTATATCTTGTACGTACGTAGATTCTTTGGGTTTATTTATTAGTAGTAAATTTATTCCATTCAACACGGGTCTATCTATTCTTTAAAATATAATAAACTATTTTACGCATATTTATTAGTTTGTGGGTTTTTTATATGAAATCTTCTTCCGTTTTCTATAATGATAATATTAAACAACGATAATTTAAAAATCGTGCAATGTTATTGGTTAATTATCACGGGCGATCACGGGTAGATCTACCAATCAAACGAATGTCTTTCCACGAGCCTTGTAGGCATATTTTATATACCGTATTTTCGAAAAATTCTAGTTGTGCAGTAAAATAAAAATTCAGATGTCCGTTTATTGGAATCAATATACAGGTATATCACGGCCATCCAAATTTTTGATCGGATAATCAGAATTGGATTTTCAAACAAATAAATTTTAGGATAGCTATAAAATAAAGATTTATTAATTTTGTGCACCCTGCACAGCTGTGCACTTTATAGTAACAAATACAAACAATAATTAGGATAGAGCAAAACAGTGTATTTTAATTAAGTTATCGAAGAAAATATTTTTTATTATAGGTGAATATGATAAAGCATTGGGAGATTTAACTAGATTGTTAGAAATTGAACCAGATAATATAACAGCATTAAAATATCGAGGAGAGATTAATTATATAATGAAAAGGTATAATGAATCAATTACTGACTTGAAGAAATTGCTAGAAATTAAACCAGAAGATACATGGGCAACGGAAACCCATAACTTAGTTAAAG